TTTGTAATATAATAAAAACCCTTTTTATGGAAGACATGCCAATCACAAAAAATTAGGATTATAAAAACAATTCTTTGTATTTTACCACCCTCAAAGAATTTTTTTATAGACTGCCTCCTTAATTCTCATACTACTCACGTAAGGCAGTTACTTTTACCATCTACTCTTCAGAGAATAAAGGTGAAGCCTGAAGCGGTAGCTGGTTTGCTTGAGGATACCCTACTTGTCAGCGACAGAGGGGGTTTAAGCCTGGGGGCTCTTGGCTTCTAACCTAGCTAAGCAATGCAGGTGCGTTTGCCTTTTAAATCCGTATCACCTGTCTGTGAGGCAGTAGCGGCCACTGCCAATCTAGGCCTAGCCAGGAGACAGGAGGATGTGCGTCTCCCGTCCGGTAGCTTCCTGTTTAACAGCTCCAGGTGGAATCAGCCCTGTTGTTCCTCAGCAGTGATGGGCCAGCCCTGGCGGGTGTGCTCAGCGAAACATGAGTCTGCTGTAAGAAAGCAGAACTGTCACAGGAAACAAGAGTCTCGGGACACAGGGATGGGGAAAGAGGCAGAACAAAAGAGCATGTCATGACCACGTCATGAAGTGGCGGGTCATGAAAGAAGGAATCTGTAGGGCCATGCTCATCGACTTCCCTTACAGGCAGAGAGAATCTGCAGCGGCAGAGAGAGAACAGAGCCCTCTCTGGGGGCAGCTGCTGATTAGGGTGGAATGAAATGGTCTTCACAGGCATGTCTTCTCCTGTGAGGTGGTTTCAAGACCATATACCCATGTAAAGATGTATTCAGTTGCACACCAGATTCATCTATTTTATTGGATGAATGTAAATGAAGGAGGAGGAGGAGGAGGAGGAGGAGGAGGAGGAGGAGGAGGAGGAGGAGGAAAGAAATCAAGTGTCCACAAGAGCAAGTTGTTGTTAGTCAGGTCTACCTGATCGTGCCAGGTTCAAGTCCACTTTAGCCAGCCCTCAGCTACTTCAGAACTTAGAAGGAAGACCAAGTCTTTGGGGAGTTTTCCCACCCATTCTCATTTTCTGTGAGAAGGACCAGATGGCCTGAGGGCTGTAACAGGGGAGCAAGAAACTGCAGTTGACAGGAAAGCCTGGTGCAGAAGCAGCACCTTGCTACCTCGATGCTCTTGGCCCAGGTGGGGGCTATGGTAGCTACTGGAAGGATCCTAGGAGCAGAGATAGGGAGGGGAGGTATCAGCAAAGCTCCGGGAAGGTGCAGGTGACACAGGCGGAGGGATGAGAGTGAGAGGACCTCACTGTGCAGTGGGTCAGGGGAGGTAGCGCAGCTGGCCTCTCTGGGCTCAGATGCCAGTGTGGATGCCTCAAATGTGACAAAGTGCAGCTCACACTCTCTCTATGAAGTTAAGATCTCCCAGACTTTCTCTCTCAGCTGACGCTGCCAGCTCTGCCCTAACCACAACCCACAACTGCCTCCTAGGAAGGGTCTGTGGCGTCTCCTTGCATGGAAACTGGGTCTTTGCAGTGCAACTGCAGCCTACCTGTTTGTTCGTTCTCCAGCAGCCCAGTCCTGTGTAAGGCAACAAGAACAGAGGTAAGGGACACTAACCAGTGCCCACGAGCTGGGGCTGGCTCAAACCTCCAAGTGCTCTCCAGTAACTGCAAAAATGCACAAAGCTGGTAAGATGCATCCTCACTTAAGAAGTAAGTACTCTGCTCATGGAAGAACCAGACAGCTTGCCCAGGGCCCCAGGTCAGCAGATGGTATCACTGGGCTTTGCTGCCTGACTTTAATGTTCCTGTGTTCCTTCTCATGCTAGCCGCTCTCCTTACGTGCCCTTCGGTTTCCCCTATCTTTCCCTTCTCCATCCTTTCTTCCTTTGAGATGGAGTCTTGCTGTTTTGCCCAGGCTAGTCTCAAACTCCTGGGCTGAAGAGACCTCCCCTCCTCAGCTCCCAGAGCAGCTGAGGCTATACTGTGCAAGCCTTCACTAAGGCTGGGTGTCATCATAACAACATTTTGCCAAGTTCCTGTTATAAACAAGGCATTCAGATGCCCCATATGGATTCTTTAAGTGACTCTGGATGGACAGAACTTAGGGCGGAGCTCCTAACTCAACCGGAACTGGGCCCAACTGTGAGCTGTCCAGGCAATTGTGAGGAATCCCAAGTGATTCTAGTTGCTTCTAGGATGCTGACAAGTGGAGGCTTCCCTTCACAGGCATCGGGCCTGGTCCTCGGCTCCTCTTTGACCTGGGGCTTCTGTTCAGAAACCAGGGTAGGGAGGGGCTGAGTGTGGGGCTTGTGGGAAGCAACGCCACATAAAAGGCCTGTAACAGAGCTCTACACTGCCGTGGTGCTTGTGCCCTGTGTGTGTGTGTGGATGTGCACGCGCACGCGTGCAGTGACAGACATTTCAGAGCACCCTCAGATGGGAAACTCACAACTGTTTTGCAAACAATTGTCACTCGTGGTCCTAAAATAGCTACGTTTGGCACATGTTCCAGAACACTGCCTGCACTCCCATAATCACGACGCGGCACGGCTGTGGCCTGCGGGTGACATAAAACCCGACTTGCAAATATTATTAGGCACATGGACCAGCTGTCTAGAGGAGCTTATTAATCCCCGGCAGGAGTGTCGGCACACAGCGCACATGCCATCTGCAGAATACATTGGCAAATACATGCCGGACCTTTCCATCTACTGGAAAGGCGAGGGCGGGGCAGACCCAGTGCCGAACCTGTAGGAACAGCTGGGCTGTCCAAGGCTGGCAAATGAAAGGCTCTCTGGCATGGACACATGTACATTTGAGAGGTTGCCCCTTGAGGCTTTTTCCATAAAATAAAGGGAAAATGGGACTTATGAGTAATTCTTTCCGGTTTTACATTCTGCTTTCAGATTCACTGACTTAGTGAGAGATGGTGGGCACAGCTCAAGAGTATGCCTGATCAGGCGGACTGCACTGTTTTTAAATCCTCATCTTCCACTTGTGAGCTTTGGGATTTGTATGCTAACCCTGAGTCTATTTCCTGCCTCTTGCAGGCCAGGCAGGTCCAGGGCCACACGTTTGTGGCCCTTTCCTGGCCCTCAAGACAGCACAGATTGTCCACATATCCTTCCATACTGGAGTTCATCCGATTCTTGCTACTTATCCCTGCCCAGTGTTTGGTATGCATCTGAAGGCGTTGGGTAAAGGAAAGAAACAAGACATGATGTTCTACAGGGAACGATTGGAATCTTCTGCTTGGAAACTAAGTCAAGGCAATGTTGAACAAAGGATTGAGGCCCGTCCTTGGGAAGGGGTTCAGACAGTGGTCTGCATGTGATGGAGCGGGAAGGCAGGGCAGAAAGGCAGTCATGATGGGGAGTGGGAAGGAAGGCTGCATGGGCAGGCTGAGAGGGTTCTGGAAAGAAGGGGGTCCAGTGCAGACGCCAACGTGAGAGGTGCCAGTCACCCAAGGCCACAGTCTCAGGCACCTTAGTGAACCTGCATGACCTACAAGCCCATGCCAACAGTACCTCTGTAAGCATCTGCCGGTCCCCAGCCCTGCCACCTTCTCACTTATGGGTGGATCAAGGGTGTTAACCACACACTCTGCGGAATAAGTGGTTAAGAGCGAGAAAACTGCCTTTCATTGCTTCCTCTGCTACTGCGACTTTCTCACACACAGGAGGAAGCTCCTGGGCTTCACTGGAGCCATTTTCTAAGTCAAATATCCAGCCATCAACCTTCTCATGCTCTCCTTCAGGACCAAAGCTCTGCTCATACTTGCTCAGACCCTCTCGGCATGCCCTGTCACCAAAACCATGTCTGTGTTCCTCCCTCTCTGCTGAGAGATACAGCCTGCTTCTGTGCCCCCTAACTTCATGACCCCCACATGATCCCACATGGAGGCTTGCTGCGTGGGCATAAGGCTTCAGGACAAAACATGCCACACGTTGGGAGAATTCAAATAGCTGAACTGTTTACACAACATACAATTGGGCATTTGGACAGTATCTACAATCAGGCAGGATCTTAGTTTAACATTTTCTATCGTCACTCATTGCACGTCTATTCTGAGTCAAATAAACAGAGGAAAGAATTGACATGAAATAAAAAAAAAAAAATCAAAAGAAAGAGGACCAAAAAAGATTGCAGAAATGAGTGAAATGAAATGGGTATTAGTCATCAGAAAACTGTAGAAGGCACTATCCTGTAATATATCCCAGTTACTGCTTGGCCTGGCTCAGGTGACCAGGCTTTGGTTAATATCACCAGGGAAACTTACTCTCTGCCTGAGCTCCAGGCGTTAAGCCCACAGTTGCTGGTTCCTCACTTAGCTCCACATCTGGACACTGCCATGTGACCATCTAAGAAGGCAGAACACATCTGGGGAATGCCTTCCTGGCATCTGGTACTCTAGTGACAGTCATCCCGGTGGGCTGGCTGCTGGTTTGGTATGTGTTTTACCTAAGACTTGATGTCTATGAACTTTCGCAGGAGGTGGGTGGGTGGAAGTAAACAGGGAAAGAAAGCAGGGATTTTCAAGGGACCACCATCAACCAGCACCCTCTACCCCCAACCACTTCTTTTCTCTTCACCGCTCTGCTCTCAAGGCAAGAGACTGCATTGAGGATCCAGGCTCAGGCTGGGCCTGGTTGGGCCCTAGGAGGCAGCTGCAGACTGAGGTCTCAGCCTCCGTGTGCCTCTGCAGGCTTTCTACTAGATGGCACCCTCGATCTGGCACTACCCCTCCTGTTGTGTTCTCCAAGCTCTGGCTCCCTGATGTTAGTTCTGAGGCATCGCACTATGTTCCAGTTTTCCCAAAGCCTGCCTGCTCCTTTGTAAAAGACTGGCCATGGGGGTTGGCACTCACCAAACCATTGCTGCACCTGTCTACTGGGCCCACTAGTCCCCCACCTGAGAACTGTCAGACTCTTGCCAGATCAGAGGAAAAAGTGGGCAGCTGGAGGAAATGGAGGTGAGGAGGGAGGCTGGGCAGTGCAGAGATGCAATCAGGAGCCAGTGTCCTGGAAGCGCCCACCTTGTCTGGCTGTGTATTCATTGTCTTCGATCAACCGAGCCAATCCAAAGTCAGCAATCTTGCAAATTAGTCCATTTCCCACTAGAATGTTTGCTGATCGAAGATCTCTGTGGATGTAATTCATGCGCTCAATGTAAGCCATTCCTGCAGCAACCTGTGGAGACGAAGGGGAGGGGGCACAGCTGTTACACCATAACCCCTCAAGTGTCCATGCTGACATAGCTGCAGCCTGAGTCAGGGCACCCTGTGGCCTACCTGTGCTGCCATGTCCACAAGATTTGGCAATTTCAGAGCTCTTCCTTCACCGTCTTTTAAGAAATCAAGCAAACTTCCTATGAGTGAGACATAAAGCAATTTCAGTTTACTCAGAATGGCAAAAATTCCCAGTAGTGGCCATATCTGATTTCCTTACGTAAGTAAAAGGTAGTGAATGGGATGATGCCATCAAAGGAAAAGGAAAGCTTTGTACAAGAAACAGAAACAAATTCCATGTTTTAAGAAGCAAGTTTTAGCTTCTGAAAATAAACTGCATTTGTTTTGTTGCTAAAGACAAAGAATTTAGTAAGACTAAGACGAAATGAACTCCATCTCCCTTTCAATGTCACAAGGAGGAGTGTGTCAGGAACCAAACCATCCTCCATGATCCAGTCGCCCTGCACAGTGGAGTGATGTGGAGAAGGACAGCTCAGGTGAGCACTGTGAGGCGTACTGTTACAGCAGCTAACAGTTACTTGCTGAAAATGCACATTTTCAGGCTTTATCTACCAAATCAGAAACTCCAAAGTCAGACCCGGTGTTTGTAGAGGACCTCCAGGGGACCCTGGTGCTAGGGAGTTTCAGGATCACCAACTTTTTTAAGTATCTGAGAAACATGGGTGGGGCAGGCGAGTCCTAATTAGATCACAGCCAGCCTCGCCTCTGCCTCAGACATCCCAGACTGAATAGGCACAGCTTCAGAGCCACACTTGTAAGGCTGCGTGAGGCTCAGAACTGACACCAAGGCGGAGTTAATCATTTGCAGGAGCTGGGGGCACATGATGGCCATCAGCAGGGTTTTTTTTTTTTTTTAATGCTTTAATCATAAAGTTATTTACAAAATAACGCTGGATCCAAAGGGCAAACAATCTGCCAGGAAAAAAATTCCAATTATATTTTAAAAGAAAGTACATAGAGAAGAAAAATCACACTGCTGTCTTCTGGTGTGCAATGTGCGGCCTTTTAAGGCTGTTTCTTGTTTGGCTCATTTATTTTTCCAAAACAAAGTGATCTCTGGCTTCATCCCCAACAATGCTGGTTTGATTATAATGATGTACACGCACACGTGTGCACCAATACATGCGTGCCCGAAGGGGGCGGGGATGATTGCGCGTCCTTTCTTCACCTGACATTTAAGGAGAAAGCTGGGGGAAAAGAGGTTGAGGTGGGGAGTAAACTCAACTCAGCAACCATCTGCTACTGATTATTTAGCGCTGATAAGGGAAATTTAACAGAAGCCACTGATTCAAAATGGCAGCAGGTCTCGCAGCCCTCTGCATTAGCTCGGGTATAAAACGGACGCTCTAGTTATGCAGAGGGACATTCCTGGTATGCGATGTGCAGAAGGGCAAGTATGTCTCTCAAGAACATGGGGCAAACTCAGCGTTCCCCGGCTTTTTCAGTGCTGTCCTGATGAAAATCCCTGGCCCACGTAGAAGCTGGGGGTTAAAGCAAGTGGACAGCTCTGGCTCTCTCTCTCTGAAGAGTCCCTGCAAGCCAATGTGAGGAGGAAGGAGAAGCATTGGCCAACCTTTGTTCATGTATTCCGTGACGATGTAAATGGGCTCCTCAGACACGACTGCATAGAGCTGCACCAGCTTGTCATGTTTCAGCTTCTTCATGATCTGTGCTTCCTCCAGGAATGATTCCGGGGACATTGTGCCTGGCTTAAGAGTCTTTATGGCTACTTTTGTGTTTCCATTCCAGGTACCTACAAATATCCCACAGTATTAAGTCAATCCAAAGATAGTCTCTTCGTGGTAAAATATAAGTCTGACCAGCAACTTTGCGCATAAAATCAGACTTTAAGTTTTAAAAACCTTAAACAGTTCTAATGAGCAAAGACAATTAATTGCAAGGACTCTGTCAAGTATTTCAAGAGGAAAAATGAGTTTACTTATAGCTAATTAATAATTCACTAAATTTTTCCATTTGATACATATCACTCTTTTTATGGCTTATGCATGTAATTGTGAATTTACACTAAAAAGCTCTGGACTTTTATTTAAATGATGGAAGTCCAGGATTTAGAACTGGCTCAGGTATCCAATAGCTATTCCTTAGGTAACAGGGAAAGCCTGGAAGAAAGCAGATTAAATCCCATCATAGAGGTGTGCCCCTGCAGAATATGGCCACACACTAAGGATGCTTGGAACAGGCTTTCAACTGTCTGCACTGGATGGCATACTTGACTAAGTCCCGCAGAAGTCAAGCTAAGGGTGCCCATAAGCACAGGCAAGGAGCACACTGTCTCCTGGCCCGTACTTCCCCGGCTAAGGTAAATCCCTCAGGCTTTCCTTGAGTCAGCCACAAGAATAATGGTTTCTATCATACGGGCTGGGAAAGCAAACAGCATCAAGGAAAGAAGAAAAGTATTCAAATACACTATGTTTAAGTACTTCTTTAAACGTCTAGCTGACTCAAAGGAAAGGCCTGGTTTCTGGCCATTATCAGTTGGCTCATCTGTAAAATACAGGCATGAATACAGCTTTTTATTCTCTTTTGATTCTCAAATTAAAAGACAAAATTTTGGCTTGTTCCATCTCTAGCCAATGGCTTTGAAGGATAATTTTAATAAGGGAAACTAAAAATCTACTAATTGAGATTATACTGCTTACAATTTGAAAGAGAATACAGGTTCAAAGGGAGAGTTACTCAGGTTTCACCTGTGACTTTCAGATCTATGGAGTCTGTGTCTTGAAGCGCTTCTTATTATTCTGTTAAAACATACAATTACAACATGCATGCTACAGGGGAGAACCCATGACAGAACCAGTGGCTTAAAGAGCTCGTTCAGCTCACGAGATACCTGCCGCTCAGTGTGAACTGGAACTCTGACAGCTTTTAAGTGGCCTCTGTGACTTCACTGTTACCATGTCCCACTGTAAGCAGTGTGACCCTCCCTCTCAGCCGGGCTAACTGCGGAGGCTTCCGTCCCAGCGCTTATGCTTTGGTGCTCTGTGTAATGACTGAAGTTACAGAAGGCTGAAGATCAAATTTCTTTCAGAGTGTGATTCATCCTGAGTGTGTGATCCGATTAAATTCCTTAGGACTTACAACTTCAATTATAAGTTGGGTGGATAAAAAGGGAAATGTTATGTAAGTAGATCCTATAATACCTGAGCTAAAGTCTAGACAGGGATGGGCACATTAATGTGGATTCCCTATTATAGTGCGTACTGGAGAATGGCTGACATGTTAGCCCATCCGTGTACCGTCCATCATCCGTTTGTACATCTGTTTGTGTCTTCGTGGCACCCGCTACCTGCTGTGCTTTAGGCATTTTAATTACATTAACTCTGTTAATGTGGATCAGACCTAAAGACCACATATTCTGTTTGTATCCCTTTAGACTCGAAGGAAGGGAGACTCTGATACACTTTGCTATCTTTTTAGGGATGGACATTTTTGGGAGGGGGTTTAAGTTTATGGATTGTCTGTAAGCAAAGTTGCAACTGTCCCAGAGGGTTATAAAAGCATCTCGGCTGGCATGACTGACAACTAAATGAGGAAGTGTGTCTGGTGATCTAAGAGCTACAAGGGATTTTAAACATGTTTGATATAATCCTGAAAATAATCCAGTGAAGCAGCTATTACTCCGATTTTACAGATGAGGAACTGGGGCTCAGACGTATTAAACAGGTCCTGTATTTATGCTTACAGGTAAGGGTGTAGACCCATGCTTGGTGTGCAGAAAGCTCATGACCTTCCTCTACAGCGGCTCTCACACAGCACCTTACCGTCCCGTTTCACAGGAAGAGAGAGCACCACATTCACTTCACGCTGGCTTCCTGTTCTTGCAGGTGTTTAATGAGCCACATGACATAGGACAGATGAACACAGCAAGGTGCCACCGGATTCAGCAAACCTGGATGGCCTGAGACCATCTAGTGACACAGGTTAAGGGTCTTTGTCCCGGTAGTCATATATGTTCAAAACTGTCCCTTTCATTGGCTTTGAGATGTAGCCAAAACAGAACGTGCCCTCTGCCTTACCAAGCCACACTTCAGCGAAACACCCCTGCCCCAGCTTCTTCTCCAGAAACAACGAGTGGCGTGCAACTTCCCAAGCATCTTTAGCCAATCCGTAAGTTTGTGGGGTACAACTCGATGAAACCACAGTTAAGTTAAAACACAAACCATCAGCTTTCTCTACAGGAGAGGGAATTAATAAAGAAAACAGTCCTTATAATCCATAACCATGCATGCACTAGGAAAGATGGAAGGTGACCTGCCCCGAGGGGAACACTTGGAAATACTTGCAGCTGGCAATGAAGGGTAAGGAAGGCACTCTCATTAGGTTGGAACACTCCTTCCACCAGCCAGAGCACAACCAGCGCCATCTGCCACTCTTGCTCATTTCTATCTCTTTTTTTTAGAAGTTCCAAATTTTTATACATAAAAGTAAAAATTGAGTAATTCAAAGTCTGTTTTCCTGGTCATTATATATATATATCTTTATTTTCACCTTCCATCTTTGATGTTTGGGATTTCCCAAACAAGGAAGCTAATCAAAAAGAAATTGAGTGTCAGCATACCCATCCATACTTCCCCAAACTGCCCATTTCCCAGTCTCTTGATCAACTGCAGGGATTCTCGAGGGATTTCCCAGACATCTTTGGTTTTGACAGACAGATCGGTAAGCCTTGGCATCCCTTTGTGACAGGGAACAACCAGGCGGCAGCAGAGACCTGCGGCTCTCTCTGAAGGAACGGGCAGCAGCGGCGAGGGAGAGAAGAGCAGAGTAAGTAAGGACAGCGTGCACAGGCGGGCGGCGTGGCGTCGGCGAGTGCTGCGTACACCACAGAAGATCCGACGCACACAAGCAAACATATTCATGAGGACATTTCAACGGTGGACTCTGCTGTTGCCCCGGGGCGTGCTCCATGTATACACAGGCAGCCTGCTTTGGCTTCTGTGTACTTTAGTCTAATGAACTGGTATAGCCTGGTCTCGAGTTCTGAAAACGCCCTTGCTAACTAATCTCAAAAACACATATAAAAATTTAAAAAAAAAAAAAAAATGACTGTCTCTTTCCATTCTGGTATCTAGATAGCCTAGGGGTTGAGCGAATCTTCCTGGTGCAAATATGTTTAGCATGTGACTGCAGTACAGGAGCTGTCCACTGAACTCTGGTCTGTGAGAACCAGTGGATCTCAAGAGTGCACCTGGCAGGGGGAGGGATGCCGAATTTTCTTTAGTGACTGCTTGGTTCTCCGAACTCTATTCTACCAGTCCTGTGTGCCTGCATTGCTTCTTTGCAATTTTCCACTAAAAACAAACAAAAACAAAAATACGACCTTTTAAACAGTTTCCTATGTATAATTCAGGAGTCTGGATTCAAAGAAGGAACGGAAATTAACAGCATTCACAGAAACTTGGTGACATGAAAGAGTAGGGAAACAGTAGCTATTGTTCAGGTTACTGAGAAGCTGGTCCTCCCCTCCCCCACCTTCCTTTTTGAAAAGAATATAGCTTTGAGAATCTAGCAAAGGTAAGGGGAGACAAACTAAATGCCAACAGTGAGTAAACAGGCACATAAGGATGGGCGCCACACAGGGCCTGGACCAGTGAGTGGGCAATCCCCCCCCCCCCCCCCAGGTCCCTGGAAGTCTCTCGGATCCAAAGCACAAACTATGGCTGACTCTTTTCTGGGAACCTTTATTTTTCAGTCTTTTCTTTCTGATTGGAATCTAGTTCTGAGATGTTTAGGCAGGAAATTATTTATGTGTCAGTATTTCAAAGGCGTTCTATGTGCAAGAGAGAAAGAGGGAAGAGGAAAAGCCAATATAAAAACAAATCTAACTCAAGATGGATTTTTTTCCCTGAGATTAAAAACTGTCTATTGCTCTTCATACCCGCCCTCTCCGTCAGCTTTATGATGTTATTAAGGCGCCCTTTCCAGCACACTATTTTCAAATGATCCAGGCTCTAGGGACCCTGCTGATGTTTGCCTGTAATGAAATATAGTTCAGCATTTGAAAAATCCTTATAACACACAGGCGTTTTGTGTATATCACTGACGCTCAAGGAGACTTTCTGCTCCATTTCTCTCAATATTTCATTAGAATTCACACAGAGCAGGAGAGCTAACACCCGGATCGCTGGCTACTCGGCTACTGTTATTTTTTTCAATTGCCAGAATCAATACCTAGGCATTCTAATTGTTATTTTAAAAAACACATTTTTGTGTGTGTGTGCTAAAAACAGCAAATATTTTTTCACTGGTGAGGAAAAAAGGCTGGGTTTGGTTGCTGCTATCTGTAATTCCACCTTTCAGGGGGCTGACTCAGGAAGACTGCCCTAACTGTGAAAGGTCACCTTGGGCTACCTAGCGAATGCTGGGATACCTAGGGCTACAAGTGAGACATTACTAAAAAAAATAAAAAATAAAAAAAAGGAGGGGTCAGGTACACAGGCATTGTATAGCAGGACACACGTTAACAAGGAAAGCAAGTGTCACATATTGAACAAGTGCACACAAAGCTACGTATTTAAATAAAACGCATGTGAATACACGTAGATCCAGTAATACCCAATAATTAAATTGCCAAGAACAACAAAAGAATGGTATCACTCGACTAGAAGACAGTGTCTAATCTTTGTTTAAAGTCATCACAATAGCTGGGTGCGGTGGCGCACACCTTTAATCTCAGCAATCAGGAGGCAGAGGCAGGTGGATCTGTGCCTTTGAGGCCACCAGACCCACACAGTGAAACCCTGTCTCAAAAATAAAATAAAACAAAAAGAGTCAACACAATAGAGGTCAGAGAGCTGTGGCCACGTGCAGGAAAGCCTGGGCAGGAAGCAGCACTTGGGAGACGGAATGCAGATTTACCCCTGCAGATAAATGATCGTGAAAGGCAGGGATGTCCAGCAGCGCCATGGCAGTGCAAGTGTCACACGAGGTTCCCTAAGGGGGCTCCCTGGGAGCCCGCCCAGGGACAACTCCTCTCTTTCTTTCCTCTCGGGGTTCTGCATTACACAGGAAACCAACTTGCAAGGACTTTCCTCATGAAAATAAAAAAACTCAAATACAAGTTTCAAGATTTAACCTACTGCCTTCCCCTTGGGGGAACTTCTGAAAAAAAAAAAAAAAAAACATGAGAAATAGTATCTGTGGAAGCACAGCAGTGGGGACCACCGACTCACGTCTGTCAGGGTGGGCACAGGGACGGCATTACCTAGAGACGTTTACGTTATTTGCCGTACCTCCTTCTCTTCCCTTCCCAGATCTGGGCCCACCCACTCCTTCCAGCTTCCAAATGGGGAGGGTGGTTATGTTACCTGAGTAATGCTGTACAAGCTGCTGAAGCGTTTCAAACTGGGCCCGGGTTGTGATGTAGTATCCGCCATTGTCAAGTTTGCGAATTTTATAATGTTTGACATGGTCTCCTTTCATATCATCCCAGTCTCGTATGGAAAGTGAGTAGGCACCTGGTAAACAGGCAGAATGTTAGTAGTGCCGGCATTGCTGAGAACCAGTCCGTTTTGTAGGTCTCACTTATTTGACTATTCTGATTAATAATCATTAAAAAGACACATGCATGCACACATATACACATATGTGCGTGCATGTGTGTGTGCGAGCGCGTGCATACACACACACACACACACACACACACACACAGCCTCAAACATACCCATCGTCTCCATTCAGTAACAGGACAAAGACAACTCTTGTCCTGCCTGTGTTAGAAGATGTTAGCAATAACATGACTTTGTTCTTGGAGCTTCTTCGTTTTTCTACGTTTACCCTTTCAGATTCTTGTGTTATCTAACACAGCACAGACCAAACGCCCCTGGGAAAGATGAGGAGCAGACTCCAGGTAAGCTTGCCTCCTGATTTCATTTCCCATGAGGTACTTGGGAGGCAAGGATGGTGGAAGGGTAGGAGGCAGGGATGGTGGGGGGAGAAGCAGGGCGGGGGTGGGAAGCAGGGATGTGGGGGCAGAGGGGGTGAGGGCAGAAATGGTTGAAGGGTGGGAGGCAAGTATAGGGGGCACAGAGATGGGTTTGGGGCAGGGATGGTTGAGGGGTGGGGGAGCAAGGGGTGGTAGCAGGGAGGGAGGCAGGGTGGGAGTTTAAGCGGGAGTGGGGGTGGGGTGGGGTGGGGGGTGGGGGAGGAGGCTCAGATGATAAAGGAACAGATGGCAAGCACAAAATGGAAGTCTGTCCTCTGCAAGGAATCTCCAAAGTTCTGCTTTCCAATACTTCACAGGGACAGGCCACAGGACAGTGTGGCACATCAAGCCAGAGGCTACCATTCCCTGCCCTTTTCACATGCTCTATCGAATTATTAAACAAAAGGAAGAGGAAGTTCTCCGTTAACGAAACAAAATGGAATGAAAGGGGAAAAAAATTAAACCAGTGGTGGTGGCACACTCCTTTAATCCCAGCACTCAGGAGGCAGAAGCAACCTGATCTCTGAGACAGCCTGATCTACAGAGTGAGCTCCAGGACAGCCAGGGCTGCACAGAGAAACCTTGTCTCAAAAAAAAAAAAAAAAAAAAAAAAAAAAAAAAAAAAAGAAATGAAGGAAAGGAAGGCAGAAGACTGCCCCTTCGGAGTCACTGTACTCTAAGAGGACCTGAGCCTAAGGCAGGGAGCCGGCTGGCCTCTGCTTCTGGAGGAGTCTCCCTGAACCCTGAGCATCTGTTGGAGCTGCCTGCAGTCCAGGACTGCCTCAGGCCAGGAGGGGCTGTGCCTGGCAAGGCCCTTGCACATCATGGCTAAGCCTTCCAATCCCAAAGACTAGTCCTCAGATTCCAACAGGCTGGATTTGTCCTTTCCCTAGCTTACCTTTGGTGGTTTCGCTCTCGCGGATAAGAAAGGTACCTCTTGGGTTTCCAAAGGACAGAAGCTGTCTCTCAGCATCTTTGCGGCCGAGTTTTCCAAAGTACCACCTTAGAGGGAGATGCAGGCAAGAGAATAAATAAGACATGAGCAACGCAGTGTGTCCTCCACAAATGGCTTTGCCCCAGTGATGCCTCCCACCCCAACTGCTTCTCCCCCAGCGTCATCCGTTCGTTTTCAGTGTATTTCTGATTCTACCCTCTCTCCATCTCTTTCGTTCTAAACTACCCACCTACCTACCAACCTAAGTCAGGCTTAAATTGTGGGTTGTTTTCCTTCCCTCTAGACGACAGGAATTTGTGTGTGTGAAAAGTGGCACCTGCATGCACAAGAAGAGAAACCTGCCACCTTGTTTGAAATGTCAACTGTAGGAGATGCTCCCACAGCTCATCTCTAAGACCCTTGATTTCTGAGCACAACTACAATGCCTGGGAAATACCAAGACACAGCCCTCGCACAGAGAAAGATCACCAACCAAGCATCATGTTTTAAAAAGGAATCCACCAAGGACGAATAAAGAAGGAAGTTGGATAACATTTCTATTCAATCTCTACCTACAGGAATTCTGAAGAAACCCCTGATCTGAGGTGACAGATCACCTGGTTTGCTTTTCTCTTCCTGTTCAGCAGGTGTGAGGACTCAAATTATTGAAAAGCATTTACCAAGCACCTGGCCGGGGATCTGCGGCAGGGCTTCTCTTTCACACAGCTGTAGGGAGGGTTTATTGTACACGTGAGATCTGTGCACAGTTAATGGGCATGTCCGTAATGAGCCGGGGGTGTAGGCATTTTAACATTCCCTGGCAGCGAACTGATAGCACTTTTGTGCCACGGTAGGAAGCCTCACAGGCCACCTCAGGATCGTCATGTGTCTTTTGTCTCCTCATCTGTACTGCTGAGCCCTAACCAATGCCTGGCGGTTGGTCCACATCTCAGCACTGGGTTGTGTATGAGTAGTTAAGTGTGCTGAGAGCCCAAGGGAGAGTTCTGGAGCATCCCACTAGAATCTGTGTTCAGGAGCAACTTTTAGGATATTTATCTATGAAAGCAACTGGTTTTAAGGAAGAGGTTTCAATTCAGCACCCCTGAACAGAGCTAGTAGGCTTCTCATCAGATCCTTTGTAAGTGAAAGGATTTCACTGAAGAAAAAGTTTGTATCAGTAACTCAGTTAAAATGCTGTGCGAAAGAATGGTGGAAGGGGGCTTGTAGACCAATGGATTACACCTAACCCAGCAGTATTTTAACATAATGCTGATTAATTGCATATGTACAAACCATAGGCTTTATTGAAAAAATCCTACTCTCTATAGCCCAATATTAAAAAAAAAACCTTATCACTATAAATATGCAGCAAATGGGTTCTCAGTTAAATCAAAATAATGTTACTCTGTAGTAAGTTTTAAATTCTCAAAAGACACGGAAGATAACCTACAGAAAGATATCTACAAATCTGTCCTAAAAATTCAGTACAAATACATGTATTTACTGATAATGAAACACATTAATAAGGAGGGTGGAAAACAGCTCTAAGCCACTGAGTGCTGGAGAAGTAGAGACAGATCTCCTTAGTGTGGGGAGTACAAAAGAATTAAAGAGGATTGACTGATAGGACTGGGGATTTGGCCAGGGTGAATCATCTAATCCTCCTTGCTGGGCCTCCACGAATCCACAGGAAAATTAAAAGTGAGAGCTGCAGGTTGTGGGAGGCTGACTTTCTCCTTTCCCTTTCTGGTGAAGCAAGTCCCCCCTGGCGCTCAGGCGGAGGCCAAGATGCTGATGCTTCGGACCTTACCCATCCCTCTCTTTTTCCAAGAGTTCCTACAAGTGTCTCCGACTCCGGTAGGAGAAATTACAATGATTAGTCATCCTTAGAAAGTCTGGAGTCTCTGAGCACTTTCCTAAACTGTCTCCAGTGGGAGAGTGGGGTCAAATAACTGCTAGTCAGCGCCTGTCAGCCACAGAAACAACTGAGACCTCACTCAAAGAAATTATCACTTGAAACCCACAGCTGCAGTATTTTCCAGGTTGTGGGGGCTTGCTCTATGTGAAATACTTTTACCTGGGGCCAAAAGGTATGCCTGTTCAGCGCTCTCAATATTTCTGATTATCAAGGAGAAGGCTCCTGGCTTAACCTTTAATAATTATTTGCCTCCTCAGGGCTCCCGGAGCCGACTGCGGGCACACCACGGGCTCTCAATAATACATGCCGCAGCTGGGGCCTCACCACGTTAGTTTTTAATCTAGAGAAAGTTATTGGGTTTTTATTTAGGCTACTCATATAAAGCTCTGAAGTAAGAAAACGGGTAGGTTGAGAGGAAAAATATGAAGTTAAAAACAAGTGTATTCCATAGAATTGACCGAAATCCGAGCAACAGAGAGGCACTATATTTTTTCAGCCTTTAATAACTGGCAGATTTCTTCTCTCTCCTGTGCCAGGTCGCTGGCATTTTGGTGTGACAATTAACTTTTAAAAGCAGGCAGTTAGAGAAAACAACGATGACAACAACAACATACTCCTCTGCCTGAATGGAGTCAACAGGAGCCACGTAATTGCTAGGAATGTAACCAGTTTCCCCTGTTGTCAAGGAGCGGGCTTCCCACCAGTCTCCTTCCCTGCAAAGGAAAAGGAGAAGAGACATGAATGCAGCATCCAATTTAGCATTCTTCAGTCCGATTCTGTGCAGTACAGAGTCCTTGTTGCCTCATCCCTTTGCCACACAAGTTCTGCAGTCTGTCTTCTCTTCCTCAAACTTCTAACATAGGCCCTAAGAAGGCCGAGTTCAAGCCAGGGCTGCCTCTTGCCTTCCGGTGAAATTATGCAGTTAGTCCACAGAGTGCTATCTTAACGTGCATGATGCTCTAGGTTTGATACCCAGCACCACATAAGCCACAGGTGGAAATCCCAATAGGAGGTAGAGGCAGGAGGACTGGAAGTTCAAAGTCATCATCAAGAGATTCTAAAATAAATTTTCCCTTGTGGGGCTCCCGGGAGGATGCACTTGCAGAAGCATTTTTCTGGGTAGGAGGCAAACCTGAATGACTGTGTATGGAAGGACTCATACCAGCCTCGGCTTACTATGGGGAAATGCAGGATTGTTTGGGGGAGGGAAGCTGGTTAGGGGGCCCAGTGCGGGATGGACGCATGCTTAGTGTACCTATCTTGTTCACTGTGGGAAGACATGGCCTTCGGTGGGTAGAACAATCAAGGACACCGTAGGGCAGGCTTTCCTGGACACTTTCAGCTGGAGATTATTCTAACAAACATTCACAGCTTTCGCTGTCTGAATCGGATGGAAGGGTGGGCAGGTGTGTAGCCAGGCAGCAGAAGCAGGAGCAGCAAAGTTCTCAGGGAGCGGGAGGCAGGGCACTCTCAACACTCAGCTTAAAGCCACTGCCCGTAAAACAGCCAGCCATATGCTTGGGTTCACTCGGGTTTTCATGCAACAAAGAGCCAAAGTGGAGCGTGCGCTTCCTCCCAATAACAATGGGTGGGCCAAAGGTCATGTGTGACTTGGGCTAAATGAAGGTCTCTCCACCAATGAGGTCAGAAGTGTGAGGGCAGGGGAGGACAGGGCTGCTAGCCAGCACATCAGGCCCCTCAGCCTCGGACCATCATAGACCATCATCTCACCCCCCCCCATTTTTTCCTCAGAGGTGGCAAGAGAAACCTCAAGCCTTTAATTAAAAAAAAAAAAAAATCACCTTTTGGCTGGGCTGCTCACGCTCTCAGGGAAGAAAATGTACTGGCTTTGGGCTTATCTTTAAAAAAATTTATGTATAAGCATGTGTGTCTCTGTATGTGGAATGTGCACCTGAGCAGAGGTGCCCTTGGATGCCAGAGGCCTCTGATCTCCTAGAGCTGCAGACGGTCGTGTGACCTCTCTGATGTGGATGCTGGATACCAAACTGGGGTCTCCTGGAAGAGCAGCACTCGCTCCTAACTGCTGAGCCATCTCTGTAGTTCTAAGGGATTATAAAACTTATTCCTTGGCTAGATGAGGTGGAGCAACATTTAGTCCCAGCATGTGGAAAGTGGAGGCAGGTGATTATGAGTTCGAAGCCAGCCTGGTCCACACAGTAGGCTCCAGGCTAGCCAGGACTACACAGTGAGACACAAACAGACAAAACAACAAACAAATGTATTCCTTAGCATCTTTCCTTTTTAACCCTATCAAACAACAGATAAACGATGAGAGAGACATTGTGGTTCTCTTACCCAGAAAAACCCTTTAATCATAATCACATTCTATCCAACATTCTTATTTGAAACATTTATACATATCAAAGAATTTACATAGATAAAAGTACCCAAAGAATGTAAGAGCCGTGTCATTTACCACGTACATGGAAATTTATCCCAGCTACAATCTGTACATGCGTCCCTCCGCCTTGTGGTACAACTCACGACTGGGTGCTCTGTGGTGGAATGCTTGCCCAGTGAGCACAAGGCCCTGGCTCCCATCCCCATACCACAAGAGAAAACAAGAAGGTAACATTTTAAGTTGGCACGGTCCCCATTTCTAGCCTCACAGAAACGTGTGTAGTCGTAAGCCTAGCATGTAAGTGCTCGTGTGGAAGTTAGGCTACCACCATGTGTGCTAAAAAAAAAAAAAAAAGGCTTTGGAAATGCTCCTTCATTTTAATAGTGACAGTGTCTACTGCTCTGAAATTCCACTAGATGGAGACATTTCATCATTTAAAAAAAAAAAATTAGCCATCAGCTCCTCACTGCAACCTGTCTCCCAACCTGGGAAATGCTCCAAAAGGGAGAAGAAAAATTAAGTGCTCGTACCACAGGCTTATTTTCTAACGCATGAGAACCTTCATCAAGTTAGTTCTAATTGAATTAAAGAAAAGAAAGGCTAGCATCAATTTCAGGTGGTCTGGGAATGTCATGGGGGGGGGGTACATCTTGCTGCAAACTGACTCGGCATTAATGCAGCAGTTTCCGCTTTAACGTTAGTACCGGCTGTCTTGTTTTGGTTTAGGCATCTAAACAGTTAATCACGCGTTAGCACACAATAGTCAGCCCTTAAAACCCTGTGAGTTTGTAGTTCTTCTCAAGAAGGACACCGCCAGCCTGGACTTCTGTTTCTGGGCCAGGCAGGGTGTAGGAGTGACACACAAGTGACAAAGACTCAACGCGTCACAAGGCAGAGTCACATCTTGTGGTGTCTCTCTCACCGGGCCTCATGGAGTGAAGACTCAGAACATCTCCCGGAAGTTGTTGGGCAAACAAACACATAAACGCTGTTGAATGCGCTGGCAGCACCAATTCACCTCCAAACACCTTCTGTACGCCCTGCCGCTGTGGGGAGATCTCTAACACATCCCTTTCGCTACTGTTGAGCTACTGTAGTTAATCAGTATTAGTGTGTGTGTGTGTGTGTAGTGTGTAGTGTGGTGTGTGTGTGTGTAGTGTGGTGTGTGTGTCGTGTGTATGTATGGTGTGTGTGTGTTTCTGTGTATGGTGTTATGCATACAGCAATGCATGGCAATGTGTGTGTGCATGTCTGCAGAGCCCAGAGGTTGATAGGGGTGTCTTCCTCAGTTGCTTTCCACCGTATTTTCAAGACAGGGTCTCTCACTGAACCTGAAGCTAGCTGACCGAGTGCACCTCGCTGACCAGCGACTCCTTCTGATCATCTCTGGGTTACAGGTACTGCTGTCATGTTCAGCTTTCGCCACGAACACCGTGGACTAGACAAAGTTCCTGGGCCTTTCCTGCTGGGGACTGGACCAAGCTCCAGGCCTGACCTGCTGGGGACTGGACCAAGCCCCAGGCCTGACCTGCCTAGCTCTCTCCCTAGTCCATAATGCTACACTTCTTTAAACTGTTCTTGCAGTTCATCTTTTTTACTAACTCATACAGATCTCTCTTCCTCCATTCCTGCCTCTAATCCTAGAGTTCCTCACAGAGCCATGGTTCCAGTTGCCGGGCAGGAGGCAAGATGCTTCAGAGACCAGATGGAGGCAGGAAGTGGCTTGCTTTGCCAGGAGCAGCCAGCCTTGACCTGTCTAGGCAGGGAGTTCTGGATTCTTCCTGTGTTTGGCAACTGTACTTCTTACTCTGAGAGAGACTCTTTGTAACAACTTTTATCACATGCTTGGGTAATCAAAAAAATATTTTTAAGCTGGGCATGATCCTTTAATCCAAGCACTAGGGAGACAGAGGCAGGTGGATCTCTGAGTTCTAGGACAGCCAGGACTACACAGAGAAACTCTGTCTTGAAAAAAACAAAACAAAAAAAAATTTTTTTTCCTGATTATGACAGAAAAGAACTTTCAGATTCTATCTATGTAAAATATTGATTGCATTTTAAGGACATGGTATTTCAAGATGGTTAAATTACTCGTTACAAAGTGTGAAAACAGGGAATGAATAGGTGAGCTTAAATGCAGTGCAGAGTAAGCTCAAGCCTGCGAAGGTCCTTAATATGTTATGCTGAGAACTACCAACAGGTCAACGAGGACGCCCTCCGCTCCTGTCTGCACTGGGAAGGGCCCTTCTGAGCACATCTGCCCTGTACATGCTCTGTGGATGAGGGCCCCTCGATGGGAGGGAGGGTCAGGAGGGGGACATACGGGAGGAGGGGTGGCAGCTGCCCCAGGGAGAGCAGAGCCACATCCTTCTCCTGTCAGTGCTGAGAGCCAGGCCGAGGGCGGTGGGGGAGGGAGGCCTCGTGCCATCTGCTCTGTGCTGTTGCTTTGTTTCCTTGCCTGGTTTCCCTTCCCTGTTATTATCCGTGACTCCAGGATATCGTTTTGCTGTACAAACCTTACTTTTCTTTTCCATAACCTTGAAAAGGGGGCCCTTAAGTGGCATGGAGGACGAAGGACTCCACTCTAAAGGAAAAGCCCCTCTCCAATGCTCTCCTCTATGAAAACGGGGTCAGAGGACCACAGGGTACCAGAAACACTAAAAGCTATGCATTCAGATAAAAATACAGAGTGGGGCAGGCAGCATCCTTCCCTTAAATATTTCTCTAAAATTCACCTTGTTGATATTGTAGAGGCTTTCTATAACAAAGGGAGATGCAGGGATTGGCTTTGCCAGTGACTGACAAGGCCATGCCCTGCACTCGGGACACACAGGCCTGCATCAGGAGTGTGCACACACGCCCAGAATTATACTTGCCTCTTTCTACCCCTTCTACTTCTTACTTCCAAGGACTCACAGAGTTCCAAACTTCTAGTCGACCTTGCCATTTAAAGCATATTGTACAAACTGGGGAAGGTTTACACAAAACCCGATCAATAGACTCCGACAAGCAGCATTCAACTGAGACTCAAACTAACAATAAGCAATCATAAGTGGGAAGAGATCAAAGCCAAACCCCCCTCTCTCCGACTCTCTAGCCAACTTCCTCAATCTTCTACTGTCACTTAGATCCTTTGGCTGCCTTTGATGGCAGCATCTGGGCTTGTCCAAGGTCACACCTGACAACCAGACTCAAGACTTCTGAACCCTCTGTCTCACCCACCTGCCAGGACTGTGCACGGGGGCAGTTCCCTAACTGTGCCCTGCGGCTCTCAGATGTCCAGTACCGACTGCGGTACATACCTCAGACAGTTGTTGTGAGGAGTGAGTGACGGCAGCTGTAACTTAGCACATGGCCCGTACATAGGAGCTTGCAATAAATGGCAGCTGCTTACTATTTTAAGAAATTCCACTGCCTGCAGGAGGCCTCTAGTGAGGGAGGCTTGGTTTGCGAGACTGCAGTAAATGTTACATTTTTGAAAAATTGAGGTAAGATACATGTAACATACATGTCTTATTTTTTACATTTTTAAGTGGGAAGTCCCAAGGCAATACGTCAGTAACTACAGTGCGGTACAACCATCGCCAGGCACGGTTATATGCACTTTGTCCACATATTCTAATAGATTAAAAAACGAGACACAGCCACTCCTCTGTTGGCGATGACAATGCTCCTGATTTTAAAAGTCCCTGGCATTATGCAGACAGCGCCTGCTGACACTGAGTTTCTAGTGTCTGCAGAGGTATTGGGGTTTGCTGTTGAGAGCTGGTATGTTCTCAGCGCACAGTGCTGAGAGCCGGGGGCACCCTCAGGAAGGGCAGGAGGTCCAGGAAGACAGTCTTCCGGTTACAGGGAGTTCCCTGGGGCCACACCCTCTGCTTCCCAGGGGCTCAGGGGCTGTGTTAACTTCTTACCTCCCTCCCTATGTTTGTCTTTTTAGAGGGAAATGGAAAGCCAAGCTTCAGATCTTTTAACTACCACTAAGTCAGCCCAAGGAGAAGCAATCAGCCTGGGTGGTGAGAGCAGAACCCTTGACGTGCCTAGCCCCGGGTGGCAGTGTTTCCCAGTGACAGGGAGCACACAGCAACACACCTGAGGTGCTAAGGCAGGATGCTACCATCTTCTTGGGAGCCTGGATTTTCCCACAATTCCCTTACCCATGCACACTGCTTAGGTGTAAGAGACTAATGTTTCAGCAGCTAGAGAAACCTGACACACAGTTGCTCTTCCCCTACAAATAACAAGGTAGGGCTTGAAGGGGGAGTTTTACTTTCACCCCTAAGTTTGCCTGCTCCCAGTTTAAGAGTTCCTAGTTTAAGATGCACTCTGCTATCTTCTCACAGAAATGCTTCTGCTATCTTCTTACAGCACACAGACATGCTCATATTTTCACTCAGGGAACCACCTCCACAGGCTTCATGGTTATGGAGTGGGAGATCTTGTTGCTGACCTGAAGTGTGACACCTCTGCCCGTGCCCACAGCTCAAAGCAGAGAGCAGCCAAGCAGTGTGGCAGCCATTTGAGAATACTGATTTGGAGGTGGAGAGACGGGATGGGGGTCAGCCAGGAACCAGTGCTCTTACGACTTCTACTAAAATGCAAAAACATGGACCCATGGGCTGGAGAGCTGCTCAGGGGCTAAGGGTGCTTGCTCACAAATTTGTATCCCAGTAGGATGTCACAACCCAGAATGCTTTCTCGAGCCTATGACCCTAGTACTGTGTGTGTGTGTGTGGGGGGTGTGTGTGAGGGGAGGGCATGTGTGTGATAGAGGTAGGGCTTGCTGGCTGCCAGCCAAGCTGAAACCCGGGCATTTCAGGTTCAAGGAGAGACGGGCCTCAGGGTGACAGAGGAGGACACCTGATGGCTCCCTCTGACACTGATGTGCGACGTGCGAATGCAGTGCGGCTCTCGTTCTCCTGTAAGCACACAACGACTCTTTCTCATACACATACACACACAATTAGAAAAGTAGACTCAAAAAAAAAAAAAAAAAAAAGACTCTGCTCTCTGCTTTAGCACACAGGGCCCTGCGACACCGCTGTACTTTGTCACCAATTCACTCAGGTTGTATTGCCGTGAGCTAGAGAACTCAGTAAGTTCCTTATCCAGTAAGTCCCTTTCCTTATCCTCAGATACCTGTTGTCTCTGGCACAAGAGCCTTTTCCCCCAAAACCAAAAGGCAGGTGTGCTTCACCTCCCCCAATCCCAAACTTACGAGCTGTTCAATATTTGAAATTTTTCTCCTTTGTGAAAACTCAGGTCATCTTCCGTCCGTGCTTCATAGTCGTAAAGAGCCACGAATAGTGTCACTCCTGTCAAAGCAAAGATGGAGATTATTACACAGGAAATCAATACTAAGAAATCACATCTTTGTTAAAGGCTCACCCTTAAACATCTACATTTAGTTGCCATTTATAAACACTTTGAGGTTTTGTAAATTAATATGGGGACGTGGCTGGCTTTGTAACATGGACTTTGTGTCGGGGGTGGGGAACGGGGGGATTATGATAAATGCCTGGAACTGAGCGATGTCTCGTTGGGCAACTTTGGGTGAGTACTGGGGAAGCGGCAGGGTTCTGACTGGCTCGGATCTGCAGCAAAGACTGACACCCTTTGTCCCCCCTCCCACCTCCCCTGTGCTAAGGCCTGGGAAAAATGTATCACTCTTTCAACTCAAGACCAGCACAGCAGTGAATGAAACAGGAAGGCCTGCTCTGTGTCCTGGTGATTTAGAGACGTCTCTGTAATGTCATCCTACCCCCCCCCCCCCCCATGGAAGATGTGCTGCCCTTGGCACCTGCAGCTGTGGTAATGGCTGTCAGCTCGTCAGCTCTGAGGTCATACTGCTAACACTCCCTGCCCCCTTCGAGCTCCACACTATCTACTTACTTCTGTCCTCTCAACTGCTGACTCTCAGAGGCCCTTCCCCCATCCTAGAAGTTTTCTATCAATCGCAAAAGTCCGCCCAGCATTCCGTTCAGTCTAGGGCCTACCCCGGGTGGCAGGCAGAATCCTGGGGAGGTCACAGCGCCTGCTGCCTTAATTCTCATGCCCTTGTGCAGCCTCCCTCCCTTATGAACGTAATGGCTTGATACTGACTAACACAACATATAAAGGTGACAAACGTCCCCAGCGCGACACATCTCTTCAGAAGACAGTGGCTTCTCCGCTGTTACGACCTTGCAGGTGCCACGCTGGCAAGACACCCGTGACAGTAAACTGACCCCTGACCAGGAACTGGAACCTACCAACACCACCTGAGGTGGTGAGAAAGCAGTTCACTCAATCAAACCCTGCAGCCAACGCACCCTGACCTCATCCTGCCCCAAGTCGGAAGGCCAGGCGGTCACTCCCAGATTCAGACCCACAGAAACAGAGGCAACAAACATTGAGAACGTAGATGTGGCTGTTACTCGGTGCTTGTAACTGAGGGGAGCCTTTCATTTCTCTGTAGTCTGGCTTCTCATTTTGATTTGCACACACTTCAAAGTGCCTGCCACGATGGCTCATTAGAGCGTGGCTTCCTCTCTCCCCAGCGCCACACTGCTGTGGAGATCATCAGGTGCAGGGAGGGACAAGCGCTTAAGGGTGGAACTTCTCTTCCACCTGTCTCAGGGGCAGTCCTGGAGCAGGGCTTATTCGGTACTGTCTTCCCTTCCGAAGGTTTCTCTGACGGAGTGGAGGAGTCTGGGACAGGTACTCTTGGGACTCACAGCCAGTCTTCACGAATGATTGAAGAGGGATGACGCTCATGTTTGCTGAATTAAAGTCAGCAAACACAAAACACTCAGCACCTCTCACAGTGGAGGGGAGCTGAGTACACGACTGGCTTTCCTTTCTCTTCTGTATCTTCTAAGGACAAAGGGCCCCAGACTGCCTGTCTGCTTCCTTTCCAGGCACCTGGGCGGGGGCGCAGGACACGGAGGTTTGGTGAGGCTCTCATATAAGGTTGGATGAAAGGGGGAGCTAGTGTCATTGTAGCACAGGGGTGAACACAGTTGTTTTGTTCTATGGGACAGACACTGACAGGGCAGTGCAGGGAAAAAAAATGTCCGAAGGCCTCAGGTTGGGATCCTCCTCCACTCCCACTGTGTATGCTGGACGCAAAGAGCGCCACTAAAGCCTCAGCAGCGCCAGCTCTCTGCCTAAAGAGGCACAGGGGGTTGTCAGAGCGGACACGAGGCATCTGTCCCCAGATGAGTGAAGAGAGGCTACATTCTTTTAAACTTTTGTAATAAACAATTTTGGAACAAATAATGCCAAATATCTGGTTGCTATGGTTCACGCACTGAGAGAGGATTTGGAAGACTACAAATACACGAGACAATTTACAAGAACTGCAGGAAACATGTGTGTGAGTGTGTGCCAGGTATGTTACGGAGCATTAGCTAAGTCAGCAAATAGATACAGCAGTGAAACCTAGCCCTGTAGCATGAAAGAAAAGGAAACCCAGGGGGAGGAAGGGAAGAGAGAGAATATGAAACAAACGTCTTGGCACACAAAACTCAACTTTAAAACACATAGCTGGGTGTGCTATTTCATGGCTGTAATCCCAACAATCACTAAGGCAGGAGAATTGTTAATAGTCTGAGGACAGCCTGGGCTACAAAGTGACAGCCTGTCTCAAAAATCACACACAAACACAAAACAACACACATACACAGATCGTAATCGAACAGAAATGAATGAGAGGCTTGAGGGCTGCTCAGGCTGAAACACTGAGAAGTAGAGGCAACCGATAAGAACATGATGCCAAATAGCCACACCGGCCAGGAAGTGGCTGTCAGGCTGAGGAGTGGGAAGATCACGGACAGAAACTACCCCAGAAGTGAGGGAGGGGTGCACTCCCCAGCCAGGCCTGAGGCCTCTGCTGTAAGGACCCGGATGGTGCTCAGGCGGCCCTGCTTTTAAGAGGCCACACTGGGTGTTCAGGGTGGCCAGGGTGGGGCCTTGGCTTAAGGCGGAGAAGGACGCTGCAGGAGACTAACGGTGCAGAACTCTCAGGGGTGTCCCCAAAGCCAGGCACACTGATCTTGGATACTCAACGTGGGTCTTTTGTTTTGAATGGTACATGATGGATGAAGTTGACTAAGACTCCTCTGTTAAAATGTTAGTCAGAGTGAGTCAGCCAGAGCACAGATACATAGTTGCCAAAATAATTGAGAACACGGCCAAAGAGCTGGCCAGATGGCTCAGTGGGTAAAGGCATTTGCTGTCCAGGCCTGACCCACGTGAAAGGAAAGAATCAGCGCCTAGAAGTTGTCCTCTGACTCAGGTGGCACACCTCCTCTCACCCCACCCACACACCCAGCAGGGACTCCAAAAACTCTTGGGTTCTTGGCTCTTCTCCCTGCTAGCGGCTTACCTGTCCCTCCTCTTGTACGAAGGGTCCCAGTGTGAGAGGAGGAGTTCACACCCCCAAAGACAGTGAGTCCCTGGCCCCCGGCGGCGTGGAAGTTGTTGTAGTTTGGGATGGAGGTCACGCCGAAGCTGGGGTAGTGCTGAGGGGTGGGGTCTGTGCCATAGCGGTACCCAGAGCTCTGGTTCAGGCTGCCGTCCCTCTCCTCCGTCAGTTTCGCTGCTTCTTTATCCTTACATTGCACACAGCCCATTATCCAAATCCCTGACAAAAGAGAAAGGGGAGAGTTAGCAGGCTGACTAAAGCAGTGGCAAGGGACTAGTATTAAGACCCATCTCAGTCCTCTGAAGCGCACACTGAGCGCTCTGGAAGATGGCATGATCACAGAGAACAATGCTCATGGGGTACAGTTTCACTCAAATGAGGCCTGTGCCCCCTAAAAATTCCACATTACCACACACCTGCCTGAAGATAGCCCACCCAGGTTTCTTATCTTTTTCTTCAGTCACCTTAAAATACGTAGCCGGGTGTGGTGGTCCCAGCACTTGGGAGGCAGAGGCAGAGGCAGGTGGATCGCTGTGAGTTCGAGGCCTGCCTGGTCTACAAAGCGAGACCTGGTCAGCCAAGGCTACACAGAGAAACCCTTTCTTGAAAAACTAAAAAAGATAATATGTGCGTAATAAAGCGAATTTTTCAACACTAGAGCAAAACCTTCCAACACAGCAAAAGTCTGTGAACTGTGAACAGCAGATGAACTGGGAAGCCAGGGTGCGGACCAAGAACTATTTACCACACACCCCACTGTGGGCACTAACTCTTCAGTCACAAAATGATGATCGTATTAAAACTAAGAAGTAGCTACCAAGTGGAAAATAAAGCTGGGCAGAAGCAAAGAGGCTGTCATGTAGCCTCCAGACACAGGAGCATTTGAAGCTGCTAATTAGCATTTCAAATTTCTATCAGTGTTTGACATTCTTCAAACCATTTAAAAGAGCGGCTGCTACGGTCTGGGTCTGGTGGTAGATGGAAAAGTTGAGTCATGTCACCCTCTCCTCCTCACACCTGCCTTCCCAAGGCTCCTGGGTAAATCTCCAAAGAGCCAGCTGTTCCCATCTGAGTCCTGAGAGGCGTCCTCACCGCTGCTCCATTTTCCTTTCACGCTTCCTGCTTCCGCTCTTACCTTCCCGACTGGGGATGTGGCCTGACCACTCCTGCCTTTTCTTCTAGACGTACAAGGGATCAGTGCCCCACTAAGATACCGTTTCTCTTTCGAAGCCTTCTCAGACCCCTTTCCACAAGCTCAGATAATACTTTTCTTAAGTGCCCACTGGCTTCCTTGCTTTCCCCTACCTCGAGCCCCACTGTGCCATATTAAAGGATGGCCTGTCCACATGACCCACTGCCCCGTGGATGAAGGTCCACTTCCCCACAGATGTACTGCCAATGCCTACACACAGTAGCTGCTGAATATGTAACACCTAAATGAGTGAAAATTCTGTACCAAACCCAACCTTCCTTTCTCCCAGTGACTTTCATTAGTAGTACCATCCTGCTTTATCTTTTCTTTTTAAGACAGAGCCTCACTTTGTAGCCCTGGCTGTTCTGGAACTCGCTCTGTAGACCAGGCTGGCCTAGAACTCAGATCTGCCTGCCCCTGCCTCCCAAGTGCTGATCTTAAAGATGTGTCCTACCACGCCCAGGCCCTGCCCACACGTATGTGAGGAGTGAAGATGACTCAGAGACACAAGGGAGGAAACAAATGTTACCATTCTGGACTGTGAGTGGACAGGAGCAGGTAGAACTGGCTGCAGGTGTCCCCGCCAAAACTCCAAAAAGCAGTTTTGGGGACCAGAGAGTCAAATAAGAAACATGTGGCGCCATGTATGACACATTCTCACAGGGGAAGGCAGGACTCAGGACAGAGGGAGGTCTGAGACCACGAAGGGCAATTCCTATCAATGCAGGAGCTGTCACCAGCTGAGGAGATGCCCTGTGGCCATTCCCAAGCTCTGAGTTCTCCTAGACCAGGCACGGATGGGCTTTAGACACGCTAGAGCTCTCACACTCTACGCTTCAGCAAACACTTAGTGAGTTCTTGAGAACGGGGATGTTTATCAGGCAGCCGCCTACTACTTGAGCTGAGATCACCAAATCTGGAACCCATTTCCTCATAAATCATTCAAGATTAATTTACTGCAGACTGTGTCCAAGATGCTTTCTCACTTATGGTCAATGAATGATTTTAACAAGTTTCCAACGGGAAATGGGAACTATCTCCAAGGCATGGTTTACTGAGGGAATTTCATCATTGCTGTTGCTGCTCCTCCGTCTGACTGATAAACATTAACTCTTCCCGGTAGACCACTGCTGTGAGGTTTGGCGAGGGCCAGACAGAAAACACATGCTCCAAGTGCTTTTTCTCTTGGGGATCTCACTGACTTGCTTAATCGGAGGATGCAGGCCTAGAACCACAGGGTCACGTTCACATCAGTCACCCCTGTGGCCAGGAAACATGCGTGGTAGGCAGCGTCTGGAGATGTTTTCAGTTGCCGAAACGCAGGGAAAGGGGTGCTTGTACATCTGGTGGGGTTAGGCCAGGGTTGCCACCAAATGTCCTACTAAGCACAGAACGGCCTCCTGCAACCAGCTCCAATGTTACTAGGGTTGCCCGGGAGAAATCCTGGTTTCCTTTGAAACCTACAACCAATGAGAACTTTCATTCTTTTTAATGCAACCGTCTACTTAATGCAACAAAGCAACCCCTACTAGAATTCCTACAGAGGACATTATATCTCTCCAAACAAAGATGGACTTTTAAGGTTCATCAAAAGAGGCCCACAGTGTAGTAAATGATTAACTGTACAGGTGGCTTCAGGGAAAGGTATAATCCCTTGAAGTTAGGGGTTGGCTGCTTGTCCTTTGCTTCACAGTTGTGTGTGTCTCAAGTGCCTAGAACCGTGCTAAGCATGCAGCCGAATTCTACAGATGTCAAGTGAATAAATTAAAACAGTGAAGATTAGCTCAGAGAAAACGATCTTTTGTGGAGGGAATACACTGCAAGTATTTGACACTCCGCGCTAACAAATGCTTCTGCACATATCTTGCTTGTTCCTTTCTCTTATGACAGGGCACATATGAAAAATCAGCAGTAACGATGGAGATGGCAACATGCACACACATACAGAGACAAAACAAAAGCAAACCAGAAATAATGCAGGCTCCAGACACCAAGAGTGAATCACAAAGATTCGTGAGAGAGCTTGTGGTCTTCTCCCTCACTCTTGGGTCAGGTAGCCTAACCATTTCTTGATGAAGACTCGGACGACGCTATATGGACCGCATTCATCATCCTCAGGCTCCTTGCCATGAAGCAGACTTCTGGGAATTTGGGCCAAAATAAAGGTACCTCTATTCAGTTTTGTGTGGCGGTTTTTACGTCCACCAGCATGGAGAGTACTTACTATTCTCCTGGCTTTTGATTTGCAGGCCACTGCAGCACTGTCGGTGCCACTCTGAAAACACTGGGGTCCTCATCAGTAAGACACCCTGTCAGCTCCATGGCCCTAGTCCACGTGTCTAGACGGGCTGGGAGGGAGCATTTGGACTAATCTGATCCTGTGTGAATAGTCAAGATATCCGGATTATAGCCCTGATTTTCAATCCTTTTAAAAGCCGAGGGGCCCTGTTTCTAATATGCATATAAGATCCAGTTTCCTTAAATTTATGTAGCCCTGCAGATCTTTTAAAATTAGCTAGCAGTGTTACACAACTGGAGAAGAAGTTGCCAGACACAGTGAAGCACAGCCACACCCTGCTCCCATGAGCACAGCAGCCATGATCACTTTATGTCATGGTGTGGTCTCAAATCCTTCACACAGTTCTTCAATAGATAGAATTCGACCTGCAGTATTGGGGGTCTCAATTACTATAGGTGTAATATGTTCTGACCCAAGGTGGGCCTGGGTGAGCACACACTCTCAGCTACTGATGCCAGTCTGTGGGCACATAAACACCAACAATCCTTCCATTTCCTCAGCTGCCAAGCCAAAAGCGATGCCCAGGACCACAGTCTACAGTTGCTGGGTGAATGAGAGGACTTCAGGTTTGTGCTGGTCTGGGAAACAAAACCTGGTTGAGAACACTCGCCATGCTGGAAAATCCTTTTGTCTGTGGTACACTCTATGGAAAGCCGATGAGTAGGCTGTTACCCTGGAGCCAACTTAGGAGGGTATGGGGAAATGACAGCCCTCAGACTTAGTTCCCTACCCCTCTCCTCCTTGCACCCCCCCCCATCCCTTCCCTGAGAGCCTAGAGGGTGGCCCAGGCCTGGGGAAAAACAGGTGAAGGCTGGCCAGGCAGAACTCTGGCCAGGCAGAACTCTGGCCAGGCAGGACTCTGGCCTGGGCAAATCTGATGCTGGAGGATAAGACCAAGGAAAGGGACTGGACTAGCTACACATAGGCAGTGGAGAATTCAGAGCAGAGCTGTAGGCCAGCTGCAGCTTCCCGAGCATACACTCCTCTCAAAGAACAGCAATGGCATGAGGACAAGGGTAGGAGGAGGCGGAGCGCAGCAAAAGTGAGGTGACCTTAGGAGAGGAGGTTCCAGGCAGACAGCTTTTGATGCTTGTGAAATCACGAACACCCACAGGATCGACCTGGGTATTTCACTACATTCTCAGTAGAGACAGTGAAGCCCTTGAGGAGCCAGGGCAGCTGACTGCTAGAGCAGGATTTGGACAGTTGAACGCCACGCCTGGAGCTGTGGTGATGCAGTTACAGCACCTGCCATCCTAGTCTCCTGATTCACTAGCACATTTCAATCCTGTGCAAAGCGGCATTCTTCCTTTGTAGGACACAGCAAGGTGACCCTGATGGTGAATGTGTGAGGGCAGGTGGCACTGTCTTTTGGGATCAGTCAGAAAGGCTGCAGGAGTTAGGGGAGGCTGGAGAAAAAGCAGGGCTACCTTGGTGCCTGGAGGTCCCAAGGCAAAGGTGGGACTCAGCTGGGTTTGCATTGTGCAACTCGTAAGACCTTGAGGGCTGAGCCACAGACGCCTGTGGGGCTGGGTCCACCCAGCATCACCATGGCACAGGGCTCTGCCCACTTGGAAAAACCTACTTGCTGCCAACAGGAGGGAAGAAATGAGAAGCTGTGTCTTGCTGAGGCTGTGCTGTCGTAGGCAGAATTCTGAGCTCCCTCACAAGATTCCTGCCCCTCAAGAACACTCCCTTACAGTCCCTGGGATGTGGGGATGAGGCAGT